TTTGTGATTTTTTTTTTTTTTACACAGATGCTGCGACCATCTTACAGGAGGAACAGACTAAGAAACCCTGTCGGAAATTTCTACAAACAGGTATGCAGAACAAGCTAACTTCATGTTAACCGTAGAATTTTGTTTGTTTGAGAGCAGCTGGCTTTCCCCCAAGGTAGTGAGAATCCATCCATCCTGGCTTCTTTAAAATAACGGCTTGCTTTTTCCGACTCTCCCAGTAATCCCCGAATCTGCATTAAAAGCATTTTTTTTAATGATTAAGGCTGTGGTGCCCCCTTGAGGAAGGACTGTGACTCATCAGTTAGCTGTGACTCGCTGGTTGCAATCTCTTAATGCTTCCCTTGATCTCCTTGCAGGCCACTGTGATTTTGGCTCCAATTGCAGGTTTTCTCATATGACGGGGGCAGATCTCGAGAAGCTGAACATGCAGGTGCAAGGTAAGAGAGGCTGAAGCGAGAAGCAGTTGCAGAGACCTGGAAGATCCCAGCCAGTGTTATTCCCCAATAACCATTTGAGTCTTCTTCTTATATACCTCGCTGCTCACTGATGGCCAGGAAGGTGAAAGCCTTCCTCACCAACTTAACCTCCCCAATCATGTTGGGATCAAAATGTTGAGAATTCTCAGCCCCCTGCAGTCACTGATGGCTTTTACATTCCGGGGCCCTGGCTTAATTTCTCCTACCATGGACATTTTATTCTATTGATGCTCTTTTTTTTTTCTTACACTGAAGGTTTTATTGTAATTTATGTATGGTGAGCCTCTGTTAGCCCATCAAGGTAATCCAGACAAAACGCACACCCAGGAGTACAATGTCTATCTTTATTGTAAGGTTACATTAACAGAATCTTGCAGGTCTGAAAGTACATCTCTCCCCCCTCGCCTTTACCGTCCAAGAAACTAGAGAGGTCCATTCTGAGACGTTTGCCACACCCCCATTCCTTCTGTGGGCTAAGATGTTGCTTATCTGACCATTGCTTAGTCTGCGGCTCTTCCTCCTGTCTCCCAAGGTCATTCCAACAGACCATTACAGCCCCTGTAATGTTTGGCAGCATATAAATTTAAATTACAGTGATGATCATCTGGAAGGCACCAGGTTGGGGATATGATCTTCTTGCCTTGAAGGGTAGCCTTCAATCTACCTTCAAAGGGTAGTCTTTAATCCATCCAATTAATTGGGGCTCCACAAATTCCTTATCCTAGTTTATTTGCAGTCCCAGCCAGGGCAAAGAATTTTCCCAAAGGAGCAGGGTTCTTTCATTCCTGTTGCAGTAGGCAGAAGCAACAAGAATATCTTCTCTTTTACCTTTGCCTTTGCCAAACTCTGTGCAGGGGACAGTCTCTAACGTTGCTGCCAAACCTTTCTGAGATCGGGGCTCATACCTTTGTTTGCTTGTTTAACTGCCTTCCCCCCAAGATCCACATCCGGAGCCAAGAGCATAAGACATTCTGTTTGAGTTAAGAAGTTCAGAGGCCCAGAATTTTTGAGCATTAGGTATAATGCTCAAAGGCCCCATACAAAAATTTCTTTCTGGATCCCCTGCACACAGCTTCCTTCTTTCAGATCTCTAAGGAGGATGTGAATCAGCACTGTGGTGGTGGTTTGAAAAGCAGGAGTTGCCCAACTTTTCTTCCCCAGAAATCTGGAACTCATCCAGTTGCTCTCGATCGTATTTCCCACCCGCCCCACCCGAGCAGCGCAAAGTGTGACCGTAATGCTTGCCCTCATTCTCACATACCTCAAGAGGAAAAGTAACGCCGTGCCTACGATAACACTTTGTGTGTCCGACCTGTTTTGAGGATACAGCTTCAGGGAGATGCTCTTGACTCTACCTTCCTGGGGGATAATCAGAAGCAAAAATTGCTATTGGGTGAGTTAGATGAAGTATGCCCTGCCTTTTCTCGAGGGACACAACAGGGTGTACGTCCCTCTCTCCGCTCTATACTCCCAACAACCCTGTGAGGGGCATTAAATGGAGAGAAGGGCCAAAGTCATCCTGTGGATTTCAGGGCTGAGCAAGGAAGCTCTGTCTTCCCACCCCCAGCCCGAGACTTTAATTGCTCCTTCCCAAATGAGTTGGGGGTCACCCAATTCATTTCACAAGGTCGGCCAAAAACCGATCTGGGCAACGTGTTGAGTTTAATTAGTGTTAAACTTGGTTAGTTTTTTGCGGCTTAGCATGTGTAGAAATCTGGATTGTTTGTTTACGTCTAGTGTTTTTTAAACTTGGCAACTTTAAGATGTGTGGCCTTCAACTCCCAGAATTCCCCAGCCAGCCATGCTAGCTGGGGAATTCTGGGAATTGAAGTCCACACATCTTAAAGTTGCCAAGTTTAAAAAACACTGGCTTACTTTACATTTCAGTGGAGTGTTAACCTCCCCACCCTCCCACAGTGGGCTGATTCAGAACCAGACTTAAATGTTTAAATTTTAAATGGCTTGTTAAAATATATTGAGAATGAACTACCCTTAATATTAGAAATACGTGGAGAATTGGGAAGGAGTCTGCTTTAGATCAGGGAGAAATCCTTCTTCCCTAGTGGTTTTAATCTGGATTGACCTTTTGTTTGTCTGTACTCTTAAAGCCTCTTCTAGTTTTTAAGCATCTAAACTTCCTCCTCCTCCTCCTTTGTTTCCCATCTCTTTTATGTGCTCTGGGGCGAGGAAGGTGGCTTTGATGGCTTGAGTTTACTGCCTGCTGCTGCAATTTATATGCTGCATGATTATTTTTTTTTCTGATTGATGGTTGCATTTTAATTTTTATGGCTCTGGGTTGTAGGCCGCCCAGAGGACTGTGTCACTGGGGAACATAGAGACGTTGCTAGAAAAGAAATCAATAAAACAGTGGCAGTCATTAAAACAGACATTGTCTGTATCCTTCCCTAATCCCCACCCCACCCTGAAGAATATAGCATTTTTTAAAGAGAAACATGGAGAAAAAGGTTAATCTTCACCATGAAGCTGCAGCCCCACAGCCATTCCTTTTCCTGTGCCCCCTTCCCACCATTTGATTTTACACAAAGAAAAGGCAACATTTTGCATTTCCAGAAGTCCCTGAATACAATTTCCTCCCAGGGTTGCCTTTAGGTTTGACGTACTGTCTTCTGGAAGGCCTTAGACTACAACTCCCATTATGTACAGCCAGTAGACGAGTTAGGATGTGCAAGACTTCTAGTGGATTACGGAGGGATGGGAGGTGTAGACCAGAACAGCTGGAGGACACTAGGTTGGAGAAGGCTGCTGTAACATAAGCGTCCGTTCCTAACCACAGTGATGCTGTAACAAGAAAATGGGCCTTATAAGTACATAAGGGATGGACTGTGTATCACAATACTGGGTTTGCCTCTTGCCTCTCTCCCCCTCCTTTGCAGAAACTTGTGTGGGCTACTCACGGAAGTGCAAAGAATCGAGCTAGGGAGGCATAGTGATGCCTAACTTGAGCTATTCAATTCCCAGAATTCTCAGCAGTGGCCATGGTGGCAGGGAATTCTGGGAGTTAAAGCCACGCAGCAGGAGGAAACTCTGGTTGGATTGGGGTATCTAGGTTCAAGTCCCCACTTGACTGATGGAAGCCACTGGGAATGGTAACAACAACTATCTGGTAGACTATGTAGAGGAGGAGAAGGGGAAGAGCTTTACTTTTGAGTAGAATTCACTTAGTCCAACACAGCAGTTAAATGCACTGGTGTGATTGGCGCACCAAGTAAAATATGTACATGCCTGTGCACACCCACACAACCTTTTTCCTGAGCTACTTGGAGAGAAAGAGAAATCTGGACATCAGTTTTCAGCTTCCATCTTGTTGGTTCACCAAGTACGAGGCCCTTGATTATTGGTGCCCGTCACCAAGCTGGAAGAAAGCAAAGGGAGACCTCTTCCAGGGGAGAGAAGCAAGATCTCCCTCATCCTTCTTTTCCTGCTGCATCTTGCAAATTGTCTGAATGTTTAATTGGAGGGATTTCATCACTGAACAAGCCTTCAGCTTAGATTCCGGGGGGTGGCCATGGCGTCCAGCACTGACCGACGCATGCCGCAGCCTGAAGAGTCTGAGTTGAGTCTTTGAGGCTGCCTTATAGGGAGATCTGAGCAAGAGAAGCTGCACCCACAGGTTGTGGGGTGAGATCTAGCAACCCAGGAAACCTCAAAGAATATAAGAACATAGGAGTTGTGGACTGAGTTGGGCAAAAGACTCATTTAGTCCAGCATCTTGGGTCACCCAGTGGCCAACCAGATGCATTCAGGAAACGTTGAAAGATAGACACCTTGTTTCAGTATTTCTCAACCTTGGCCACTTGAAGATGTGTGGGCTTCAACACCCCATGGCTGGCTGGGGAATTCTGGGAGTTGAAGTCCACACATCTTCAAATGGCCAAGGTTGAGAAACACTGCCTTAGTTATTTACTTACGTAAGCTACAAAGACCAAAAGCTGACACCTACCAGTATTGTTCCCTAGATAATATTTAACACCTATTTTGCATTGATCCCAGAGTAGTAAGCAATCCTCAAGACTACCAGCCACTGATAACTTGATTCTCTATCCATTTGTCCCATCCCTGTTTTAAAACCGTCTAAAGACTTGACCAATATCCTCAGCCGAAAGATACATCAAATGCCAAAGATTTCCTTTAATCAGTCCTAAACGGGGAAAAGCCACCTTTGGCCGTTCTTCGGTTTTATATAAAAATACCTAACCAACTTTGGTTGTCCTCAGAAGTTCAAGATGTTCAGGCTTAGTTCGTCCTTGGATGGAAGACAACCTGAACATTCCAGTGGTGTTGGTTAGCCAAAAAATGGAAAAGATAGCCCAGGAGGCAGTGGCTAACATGTCCGTATTGCTGCTGAGAAAACTCCATGGCTTTGTCTCTGTGGTCACCAGGAGATGAGTTCACTTTATTAACACCTCCACGTTGAAGAAGTGGAAATAAGGCTGAAATTGGGGCTTCCTGGGGTGTGGAGCAGGATGGCCATTGAGAGTTAGCTGGGGAGAAGAAGATGTTTGAATCCCAAATGTGCCAGAAGAAGGCAGACAGGCATGTCAATTGCCCAGTGATGAAAATCTCCCTTGGCTGTGTCTCTACTGATTTAGCATCCCACTAGGTTGCCTTTCAAAATCCAGGAAGCAGTGAGAAGGTGCAGCCTGCTCAAATTGCTTCTCCAGTGCCCTTGTCTTAATGCTAATTTGCCTCTAGCCCAACAGCTATCAGCTCAGTGGTGGGGCAGGGGGGAAAGCATAAGGGGATGCTCATTGGGTATCCTAGAAGTTGTAGTCCAATCTATCTCAAGGACCACAGGTTAAGTTTCATTTTAAAAAGAAAGAGTCCATGTTGAGCTATCTGTGTGCCAGATATTGCCCCAAGGAAATGTAGTTGCAAAACAGCTGACTTCCAGAAGCACAATGGTTGTGCTTCCCCCTTGTAAATAAAGTAGAAATGGGAGCAGGAGGCCCTGCCTCGAAAATCTGGAAGGGAAACCCTCAAATTGGCCCTGCCCCTTTTTATGACTTCAAATCCTTTCACTAAATGCAGGTCTCTAGTTGGTTGGGGACCAGTCATGGACCCTTATCCTTGGGAAGTTCCCCGTCCCTGGAGTCAACTTTTGACCTAGCTCCTAAAGTTAGGCTAAATTGAATCCCACCCCTTCCTCCTGCTGAAAGTATCAGCTGCCCCATTTCAAAATGGTGAGATGTGAAGACAAGACACCAGCTCTCAATTTGTGGGGTATACCTCAGGAATCCTATTGTGTTGTGGCCCCAGATTGTAATGCTTTTCCCGGGGAGGCCCACCTGGCATCTTCCCTGATTAAAGCTATTGGATGTGGGCTGCAAAAATGCGAATGACCGCTAGATGGCAGCAAGGAGACACAAACTCACTTTCTCCTGCCCTTTTGCGACCATCCAGATTTTTGTAACCCGTCTCTGATGTCCTTTGGCTATCAGATAACCCTGCCTCGTTTTACTTTCTGGCTTTTCTTTAAAGCTCACTGTCCTTTTGCTTTTACATTGCTTTGTGTCTGGGGTTAATTCTTTTTTTTGATTTCTTTTACATTTAAACCAACCTGGATTACAACCACAGAATATTTGAACGAAATACATGTTGAGCAATAAATCAACAGCCCCCTTTGGATCTCCCACTCCGTGGCTGCTAGATCCCGGAATGAATTAAGTAATGAATGAGCCACCCATCTCACACTGAGCCACCCATCTCACACCAAGCACTCAAAGTCCAGATGGGCAAAGGGTGGTCAGATTCCAACTCCCATCCTCCCTAGCCAGCAGAGAAGCCTCATGGGAGTTGTAATCCAAGGACCAGAAGGGAATGGAGTTCCTTCCTTACTAGATGGCTAATTCAGCCTTGCCTCGGTCTGGCTTCTGGGTCCTCCTGTAAGCCACACGGAGCTCTGCCACGCTAGCTATCTCAAGCTGCTTGCCCGGCACCTCACCCTCATTACTATTCAACAGGCGAGAAGACGAATTGGCTGCCACTGTCAAACCAGCACGATCCGTCACTCGGCTTGAACGGTGGGGTTAATTTCACACCCTGTCGGGAAATGTTTACCATTTTGCACAAAGGCTTGACATCCAGGCCAGATTTGGCTTGGACGGGTGGCTGGAATGGGGGCTGGGGGGGGTGCAGGCTTTGGCAGGCAGGGAAGGAGGTGGCGTGGCATAGAGGGAAAATTCAGACTGGGCAGGGCGAGCCGAACTTCACTCCGTGGAAGGTTAATTCATCTGCTTTGGATTCTCTTTTCGAGCAGGAAGTCACGCTCCCATTTCTGACATATGGAACCCTTCCCCTCTAGACTGCCTCTGTTGGGTTGCCTGTTGGGCCTTTGATCGAGCGGTTCATAACGGTGCCTCTGAAATGTGAAAAGAAACAGGCTGGATTCACCCATTGCACTAAACCATGGCTTGTTGGCTAAACCATCCTTTCCGGGGTTCACGTTAGAGTCCCCCTAGATGAAATCTAAGCTTGGGGTGGGTTCCTTGCACTCTGCCGTCCCTGCTGCCCCATTTATAGCCAGCAAAATTGGGTGCAAAACAGCCAGGCTTTGGTGGTATGACCCTCATTGGATTTTGGAATGGGCGGGGAGGGGGATTATGCCCTTAACATCTCCCCATTTCTACCTAAATCCCTTAAAGATCTATGAGAGCTATGGAGAAACCCACCAGATCAGGAAGGAAGTCATTTAACAAAGAAGAAGCAAGCTGGTTGGATGGTCATCTGCTAGCAAAGTGTTTCTCAACCTTGGCAGGCCGGATAAAAGGTGGGAGCCAAACCCAAATAAATACCACCCCAGCCGACACCCCCCCGGGCACCCGGGCTGGGGGGGCCGGTCACGACC